GGTCTTCAGAGGCTAAGGTGATCAGTCTTAGACTCAACAAGTAATTCGCAGTGAAGGTAAGCTGAGAGTATCCGTGAGGATGAATACTAAGTTGATTGCTGAAGAGCTATGGAAGTCTGACCATGGGCCAGGCTCAGGGTCATACTATATACAAGTCTAACTCTGAACATGTTCCTTTGTACCTTGGGTCGATCCGGATCATCCTGATCCAGAATGATCATTCGGCCCCCAAGTCGTGTTGGATCATATTGATCCAATATGATCGTTATCTTATCGTCACGTGACTTGTACCGTAGTTCTTCCGTTTCCGAGCGAGTCCCTGTTGTTCCCGTGATCCTGCAATACAAATGTTCTGTCCTAGCCGCTCGATGCCCAAGTCGGTCGGTTAACTGTTATCCTGCATAACGGGTCGTAACACCCAACCGCGTCGGTGAAGCCTATGGTTTCAGCGGATATAGCAAGATGATTGCCAGCGTATATGTTGATAACGTCCTAGATAGAAACGATATCTTGGCGGGCTATCAGAGTGCAACCAAGTTTGGTCATTTGATGAATCGTGTCCTCGGGGTATTGAGAGAGATAGAGCTGCCATAGAGTCGAGTCATCCTGCTTTGTCCATCCCGCGTGAATCCCTGCCTCGAATACTTGTTTGGCCGCGGCGCTGAGGAACACGGGGAACGAGACTACGCGGGAATGGTTGACGATAATCGACTAAATTGCGAGCGAGTCAGCTTCAATTAGTTGCGATAATTTCGTGCGGTAGATACTGACTGAGTCCTTTACACTGTTTGGGAGTGCAGAATAGACCCCGCTGTCTCCGTCCAACATGTGCGGAATCCGGTTTCCATTGATCCAACTCCAGCCGTCGCTATTCTGAATTGCATCGAACACTTCTCGAGTGTTCAAACCAGCTCTCGCCGCGAACGCCATTACCTCATTGCAGAGCGCGATCTGAACCTCCGCAGGAATCTGATGGCACATCTTAGCCTTGGAGCCGGACCCGATGCCCCCAGGGATTCTGTACAGCTTGGTACTCATCCCCTCCAGCACTGGTCGAGCTCTATCCAAGCAATCGTCGGGCCCAGAGCTGAAAATGGTTAAGGTACCTGCTGCCGCACCGGTTGTTCCCCCTGAAACGGGACAATCCAGCAGTGTAACGTCTCGGCGACCAAACTCCTCATGCAACCGGCATCGCAGCTCCTCGCAGAACTCGGGCGGGCGGGACGGTAGACGTAATAATGACACATCCAGAGCATCACCATATCAACGGGTGCATTCAATTTATTCACATGATTTTACGACCCGAGGACACTTTGTTTGAATTGGATACAGTACTGTGTCGAGAAATCACGTTTTCCCTTGTTGCTTATTTGCGTCCCAACACTTTCCAGGAAAGGGCAATGCTTGCTGTCAGCTCAAAGCCAAGATGTCGGGAGGCCGCACTGCTGATTGCTCCATTTGGGAACATTGAATTGCTCCATTCGGAAGCGTCATGTCGATCATGTGGCCGGTACGGGTATACTCAATACAGTTAACAACTCACTTGTAAAGAGTTGGCAAAGTGCGAACAACGTTGCGACAAAATTTCCTTAGGAGTGAATAGAAAGGCTGTCGTTGACTTGTGGTTACCTGAGTGGTGCCCTGGCCAAATTGAGTGGCGAGGAGTCTCGGATCACCGTTCTTGGGCTACCATCCCGTGTTTCTTCCCATCACCTAGCAATGCAGTCCCGCACAAGACAAATTGAACTATTTGAAATTCAATGTAAAGTTCTTAAATAATTCTGTTGCATTGTTCTATTTCGAGTCCTAAGTTACTGCACGCCAGAACTAAATATGCCCGCGTCCAACATCCTCAAAGCAAACAAGGCCCTTGACATCCTGCGCAAAGCAGCCGAAGGACGTTATGGAGTCCTTGCTGCAACAGTGTATGATCAGATTATCAAGAGCAATTGTAAAAGAGGCAAAGCTTTACTGACATGATTGTTTCAGATACAACGTGGAGCATATCGTAGGGGTCGTTCGAGCTGCAGAGAGAAAGAGGTCACCTCTCATAATCCAGCTTTTCCCATGGTCGATTTCCTTCTCAAACGGTGTTCTTGTACATACAGCTGCCCAAGCAGCCAAGCAGGCTACTGTGCCCATCGCTGTGCATCTCGACCACTGTCAAGATGAGGATATGGTGAAAATGGCCTGTGACCTCCCTTTCGACTCTATCATGGTCGACATGTCGCATCACTCGAAGGCAATCAATTTGGAAAAGACAAGGGAGTGGGTCGAGTATTGTCATTCGAAAGGGAAAGCCACTGAGGCGGAACCAGGGCGGATAGAGGGAGGCGAGGACGGCATCTCGGATACAGCGGATCTAAGTGGAGAGATGACAACGCTCGAGGAGGCGCAGAATTTTGTTGACACGGCTGTTGGAAGTCTGGCGCCGGCATTCGGAAATGTTCACGGAGAATACGGACCGACAGGTATCATTCTGGAGTGGGATAGGTTGGTTGACCCGTTTTCCTAGAGTCCGTTTTCACGAAAGGCATGCATGCCACAGTCGATGAACTTGGGTGAATTCTCAACATTTCGTGTGCAAGAGTTACTGACGTAATGACTTATTTACATATTAGGCTCGCTAAGATTCATCGAGTCACCTCAAAAGGAGGTGTTATTCTTGCGCTTCATGGATTCAACAAGTTCCCTGACGATCTCACCCAACAACTGATAGCGTCTGGAATCACCAAGGTCAATATAAACTGGGACGCACTGAAGGAATACTATGGGCATATTGAGAAGAACATCAACAGGGTCCCCTTCACCGATCTCCTTGAACAGGGTGCCGAGATAGTCGCGCAGAGGATTAGTTACTACATGGACGTGGTAGCGTCAACTAATAAAGCATGAGTGGGAAGGACAGTTAGCCATCAAACATTGAAGCTTTCCCCGTCGTGCTTCGAGGCTTGACAGTAAACGTTTGGTCTCTATATCAGTGTCTCTTCCATCTTTGCTTCAAGTCTGGGCCTGTCAATGTTGATAGCTCGACGATGTCAAACTGAACGCAGGCTGGCGCAGTGACAGAAAAAGGACTGTCTCCCTATGTACTGTTTGTATTTAGAGATACCATTTGCGTCGACAGGGGCAAATTGCGGCGACCGTCAGAACGCCTACCATGTGCTGAGTAACTGTCTCAGTATTTAAGGCCTACTCGATGTCATTAACAGGGTGTACTCAATGTCATTAATATTATATAAGTGCATTACTTGGGTAAGAAACTAGCAGCAATCCAGCTACAGCTAGCGCAAACGCCGCCTTAGACGGAGTTTCCCTGCGTCTTCCTTATCGTTCATAGCTGATAACGGCTCATTCTTGCCGTCGCCTTGGTTCGCCGGCTCCCGATCATCACCGCAGTCGTCCAAGACAAGACCATGGTAGAATGCAGCATTGTAAGCAGCATCAAGAGCGCCCTGAATGTTAGCGTCGCTGAAGGGCACCTTTGTGTGCTCGTAAATGACGCCGTTCAGCGCATCCCGGGCAGGCTGGCTCAGCGACGCCCAGTCGATAAGGGGCTGCGAAAACGTGCCCTCTAGACCGACGTCCGACGGACCCAAGTTCTTGTTCCCCCATGATGACACCAGCGGATGCGTATGTATCCCATCTGTCACGGTGGGACTCATGCCATCTCCACCTGTCCAGATCGTCTTGCCAGAGATCGAGGTATCGTAGGCCTCGACGTCGATAGAGTAGCTCATGCCAGCCATCGCGAGCTCGGCGACGTTGTCAAAGTCGCATCCATTCTGGGTCAGCCAGACGACGACGTTGCGCCAGTAGTGCCTGTGGCCGTTGCTGTTGCCCTTGGCCCAACGGACTTTGGGCTCGTACCAGGCGTACATGATGGCATCTCGGCCATGGCTGGAGCCCGTTCGCGCGTAGATCTGGCCAGATTGACTGGTGTCCCAACAGTCGCCGCTTTTCTTGCCTGTTGGTTTGAGTCCAGACCTTTGAAAGGACGTGTTTGTTACAATGCGCCGCTTGGATAGAAGAGTTTGTCTTAAGAGAGGACGGAAGAGGTAGATGGAGATGGGGTGAGAAGACTCACCCGAGGTAGCCTTGTGAGTCCACGGCTGGGTAGGGAAGACATCCGCCCCAAACGTGAAGCCTGGGCTTGAACAACCGCGTTTTGTTTTGCTCATAGTCTGAAGCCTGGGGTTGAGGGAAACCGACAATATCGTTGTGGTTCTTCCACTTGCTCCAAATATCGCCAGCCCCGGCAGCGACTGCTAGGAAGAGACTAAGGAGGAATATTCTGAGTTGTAAAGACATCTCGCTTGTGGACTCGACGGTGCTAACTCAAGTTATTTTCCAGTGGAAAACCATGATGGGTCAGTCAAAGAAAAAGAATATTTTAATGTTGGGGGCACATCAAAAGTATTTGCTGAAGTTGGGTTTCAGAGGAAGGCATAGCTAACAAAGGCTTCATTTCCTTACGCCAAGACCACCGCTAAAGGGTTACCTACTCCGAGTAGAATGGCAATTGAAGACGAAGAGCGTCTCTACAATAAAGTTGGAAATAAATTAATTGCCTGCATAGGATCGCGCCATCCCGCTCCGCCTGCCGTCGGTAATTTCCGCTGAGATCTCGCATGAATAAGTACAGTGGCCCTTAAAGTTTGGTTAAATCAAAATTCTCCGTTAGTTGAGCTGGCTTTAAGATATTGGGCACCACTGTCCACCACAGAGCTGACTTTATTGAGTCTTCCATAAGATGGACAGGGTACTGATTATTGCATAGGCATCTCAGCCTTCAAAGTCCCGGATTGCGCAGCGCGACGACCGGGCTGCGACTCCCACTGGAACTTTAAAGTTGCGGTTGATTAAAAACCCCACTGAAATTGAAGTTCTATATTCGACCAAGCCGATAGTTTGTCGGGTTAAAGACTTTATTCACGTCAGCTTCGGCAAAATGATTGCGACCAGCCTTCTGGTCCATCCGCCGAAGATCTAGCTATCTTAAAAGCTGTTACTTGCCAATTGTTGAACCTCCATGGTTGTGGTACTAGCATTGTTTCCTCACTTCCGACCACCCCCAAAAAACAAGAACAAAGTTCGCTGTTCACTATCCCATATTGGAATACCACTCATATAGTCGTGAGCATGAAATCTCTACATCATCATCTCATCATCCTCTTGAGCTTGATCTCTCTCGTCTGGTGCGACGAGCTCGACGACTACGGCTACACCGTAGAACAGTACGATGATACGTGAGAAGTCCACCGCAACAGCCAGCGCCTCGACACGTTTCTCATAGACAAAAGCCGCGGGCGCATCATCATCGAAAAAGCCTATAATGCGTGGTACGACTCGCGACCAAGACTCAAGCTGCTTGACATCATGGTCTTCATTTGGGTTCGGGCCGGCATGTCTCTCTCGGACCTGACCTCGCTTCAGATCAGGGAAGTGTGGAACCAAGGCACGATAGATGCCATTAAGGACGCTCGGTTTTCCACTGGGATCAAAACCCCAACCGACTTCACGGTGGAAGAGAACGACACTGGCTGGAGCGATTTGATCAAGGCCGAGTTTTACTACACGATGAGCAAGATGTGTACTGACTGGCAATCGTTGAATTCGAAGAGGGTCAGCAAAATGACAGTACTGAGTAGGGCGGGGCGGCTGGATGATTTTATCTTGTACATTTCGTAATGTAACAACAGGAGGAAGAATGGTCTGTGACAACCAACTACGGGGACAGGAGTCAAAAGTAAATTTGTAAATTGGGCTTCTCAACACCAAGTGATGTAAGTCAAAGCACCCACTTCTGGCCCACCCCTGCTTCTGGCCCACCGAAAAAATGATGCCCAGCCACCGACTTTCTAGATAACCCCCAACTTCAAATTATCACCGCTTTTCTCAACCTTTTCTAAATCGCTTCATTTACT